CTGGCTGGGGAATTCTGGGAGTTGAAGTCCACTCATCTTAAAGTGGCCAAGTTTGGACAACACTGATCTACAGTAAGACCCAAAGGTAGATGTTTTGAATCAATTAACAAGTCTGCGTCTCTCCATAATATTGATGGAATCATCCCTTTGGAATCATCCTAACCTGAGATTTCTGGTTTTACAATCCCAGAATCCTAGAAGATTATGATAGGAAAAAGAATGCTTATTTTGCTCTTAATAATCTATTTTCCCAGTCAATTTGTCTTTTAATTCAGAAGTATTATAGAAGGATGAGACACAGCCATTTTTTACTATTAGACTGAAAAGAAAACAACAGTTAAGTGATCAAGGCTTTGTATGCTGAGTCACACAGTAATCAGCTCATGGAAGAGACATTCATTCTTACATATACTCTGGATATCTTTTGTCTTCTATTAGGCATACTGGATGATTGACAATGCACAACAGCATTTAGACTGCTTTCCAGAACACTTCAGTAGATGTATTGTTCAAATAAAACGTTTGCTTAATTAATCCCCTCCCTACTCTCCATTGATTTCCTTTCTGAAAGTTTGTTTTTCTGTATTTATTGCCTTATACTGACATTATTCCATCTCTCATGATAATAGTTCTTTAAATGGAGCTTCCTTATCCATTACAGAGTTTGCTGTCAGTAACACGAGAGGCACTGTTTATGAGTTGTAAATGGTGTCAACTGTTTGGCACATGTAACACCACTGCTTTGGGGGCTGCATTGGTTGCCAGTGTGTTTCCGGGTGCATTTCAAGGTGCTGGTTGTCACCTTTAAAGCCCTTCATGGCTTGGGACCAGGTTACCTGAGGGACCGTCTTCTCCCTGTTGTTTCTACCCATCCAATCCGGGCTGGCAGGATGGGCATGCTACAGGTCCCGTTGGCCAAGGAATGACCAGGTAGTGTGCCTTTTCTGCCATAGTGCCTGTCCTCTGGAACATCGTCCCTCCTGAGATTAAGATGACCCCGACCCTGCTGGCCTTTCGGAAGGCCTTGAACACCTGGCTATGTGCCCAGGCCTGGGGTCCAAGTATCTGGAGGGCCCCATTTCCTGGTTACGTTGACACCGATGGAGTATAATATCTCTTGGCTGCTATCTGTGTTTAATTTCTTTTTTGTATTCTGTTTTAACTGTTTTAACTGTTTTTATGATTGTTCGCCACCCAAAGTCACTGGTTTGAGACGGGCAGCTATACAAATTTAAATAAATAAATAAATATTCTTTCCATGAAATATGGATCTGATGTAAACTTTGTTTTTAATTCATACAGGTAGTCCTTAATGACCATTCATTTAACAATGGTTTGAAGTTACAATGGCCTCAGAAAAAGTGCTTTACGACCTGTACTTGCACTTACAACTGTCGCAAACTGACGCACCATGAGATTTGTGATCTTTTTTACGATGGTTGTTAAGCGAATTGCAGCAAAAAACATCAATTGGGGAAGTTGGATTCACTTAATGACCATGTGATTTGCTTAATGACTGTAGTGATTTGCTTACTGTGGTCATTAAGTGAGGACTACCTGTACAGTTCATAGTAACCATGCAGATTCTATAGCATTTGAGGGGGTTTTTTTTGTTGTTTTTTTTTAACTCACCCTAGCTATCGCAGGGAATCATGAGCAGATGGAGAAAAGTTCTGAGCCGGTTTATCACTCTGGCCCTTTCAAATGTAATGAAATCACAACTCCTGAAATTCCCTTCCTGCAGAGCTGAATGAAATAATACTGATATTTGGCATCATCTCTACTGTAATGGTTGTCACTGGTTCCGTGTGTAGAATAGTCTTTCTCAGCATGGAATCCTGCAAAATATCCTCCAGGTATTTTGGAACCACAATTTCCAGATCTGGAGTTTACAACATCAATCAATGGCATTCATTATAATAAATACAATATTTTCTTCAGAAACTTAGTAATGTTTAATTTTCTTTCTCTTCCCATCCCCACCCTTCACCAAAACATATATATACTGGACAACAGAACAGATTTTTACACACTCAAAAAGTAACCGCCCAGAGTCGCTCAGAGTTGGGCGCCATAAAAATTTAATAAATTATCATTATTATTAATTGCATTTTATTTGTTCCCCATTCTGATATTTCAATACCATATTTTCTTTTTGAAGTAATTCAAGAGTTGCTGAATATAGAGGAAACATTCAAGAGAGTTAACAACAATGGAAAAATACAATTAATAGGACAAATCATAATTATGAAAGAAAAATTTGCTAAGTGTGAGAAAAAAATTGGATTAGAGGTTGCTGAAGAAAGATTGGTGACGCTAACCTCATTTGTATGCATGGGCAAATGAAACTAAGAAAGAATGTTTTATTATCAGGGATATTTCAGTAGGCCTCTAACCTTTCTCTGCCTTTTTGTTCACCTCCTCAGATAGAGAAAAGGCAGTTCAACAATGTGTCCAACTCAACTTACTGCATATTTATGGTCAACAAGCCGTATGCCATCACCTGCTCAGTTGTAGCGTTCTACATTCCATTTCTGCTAATGGTTCTAGCCTACTACCGAATATATGTTACAGCTAGGGAGCATGCTCACCAGATACGAATCCTACAGCGTGCAGGGGCACCAACTGATGGGCGGCCCCACCATCCAGATCAGCATAGCACACACCGTATGAAGACTGAGACTAAAGCTGCAAAGACCCTCTGTATCATCATGGGTTGTTTCTGCTTATGCTGGGCACCTTTCTTTATCACAAACATAATAGACCCTTTCATACATTATGCAGTTCCTGGTCAGATATGGACTGCTTTCTTGTGGCTGGGATACATCAATTCAGGACTGAATCCCTTCCTTTATGCATTCTTGAACAAGTCTTTCAGACGTGCCTTCCTCATCATCTTGTGTTGTGGTGATGAACGGTATCGAAGGCCTTCCATCTTGGAACAAACTGTACCTTGTTCTACAACTACTATCAATGGATCAACTCATGTATTGAGGTGAGTTCAAGACTGTATCTACTTTGATGGAAGCTAAAAGAATGACATACTTCTTTTTTAAATAAATGTTTGAGAAAATATTTTTTCCTGAGTATGTTTTAGCTGTTAGTTTATGAATTCATAAAGGAAACCTGATATTTTTACTTTAATTAGTGGCATATCCTAATTTATAATTTTCTAAATGTCTATATACATTTTCAGGTGGAGGGACAGAAATTTCATGAAACTTTTGCAGTACAGTAGAATTTCTGTGTGTGTGTGTGTGTGTGTGTGTGTGTGTGTGCTTAAACTTCTCTTCTTTGTTACCTTTAAATTTGCAGAGAGGCCATTAATGAGTAAAATTTCAGTTTTGTGTGAGACAGGTTGAGGTGAAACTACAAAGACAAGGGTGTTTGTGTGAACAAAATTATATTGTGTTAAATAAGAACATGGTTCAGTGAAAAGCCTAGGTCGAGAGATATATCCTAATGTATTGTCGAAGGCTTTCACGGCCGGAATACGATGGCTGGTG